ACATCACTCCTAGTGCCTTTATTCAGAACTACACCTGGATATGGCAAAAACAAACCCATAAAAATAAGGTGCTACTATATAATATTAATTTTCTGCGTGTGACGCAGGGGATTGGCTTTTCATTCCACAAAATAAATATGTATATAATAAAAGAGAAAACAAACCTAGTGGCAGCTTACCTTTAATAAAAGAGGTAGGGAGTGCCTCTAGTAAAGATGAGTCAGGATCATTTTTAGGTACCATGTGTGGGCCTGGGCAGAAATTTAGAACCACGTTACCCTTTATTCACGGTGGATGGGAGCCTTCCACAAAGGGAAGGCTATTAATTATCTAATAACTAAACTTTGAATTATCATTATCATTATTTTTATGAAGTTACAGTCAGCCATGCTCAGTGACACAATAAGCTGACCCTTTGGCCCAGCACTAGTTCTTCCCTTTGTTTCTCTCCACTCTTCTTTTCCTGTTTCTCTCTCTCTGCTACCTATGATTATGTGTCTTCTTCATTCCTTTTCTGTGACTTTCATTCCCTGAAGTAAGAAATGATGTTCACCCCCTTTGGGCTTTATTCTGAACCTCTTCTCTTTCTCTTTGAATGAAATAATCAGCAAAGGAATAGTTTCATAATGACACATAAGGCATCATCATTAGACTTTAAACCCCCCCAAATTAAGTTATGGTTTGGGAGAGTTCACATCACCCAAGGCCATTGTTGCAGTCTGTCCACAGTCAACGTTTATTACCTACACTTGCTCTGCCTTTGGAAGAATTACTCAGGCAGCCAGGAAGTTTAGAAGACTTATTTCTTTTTTAATTATTTATTTAATGAAAGTGTATGTATGCTCGACGCGCAGAAATTGCTCTGATGTAACTAAATCAGGTTCTAAATCCATGTCGGTAAATGAGTGAAATTCTATTGTGTAGACATGTATTTTACAAAATTAATTTAGAAACTGTTTTAAGAATGTCCATTCAAAGGGATTTCACCAATTCAATTAGACTGATTTAGAAGCAGGTGTAATTTGTTTGTGCTACAAGTCCTTAGATCCAGTACAATCTGAATGTTATGCAACCCATTTATAAACTCCTACGTGGCCAGATCTAGCCAAGGCACCTCTGTTCCAGTGATTAGAGAAGACTATAGGTGAGATACAGGTTCTTCTCTGGGTTCTACCCCGATCCATCATCTCACCTTGGGCAACTCACTTACCTTTTCTGTGACTCTTTCTCTTTCTGTAATATGGGTCCTATATTCTATGAGTGTTAATTAACTTATTTGCTTGGAAACCCATTGCTGAAAAGCACAATGTATAAGCAAAATATTAGAATTCTAGAATTATTATAAAACAAGGTGAAAAAATAAAGGAAACAAAAGGTGTAGCTTTCTTTGTTGTGACCCACATTTGGCAGCACGAATAGTGTATTTTTCTGTATTTTGCAAGAAAGAAAGAATATATATCTGTGATCATGACATGAAGATACATGTTGGGCACTTTCAAGGAAAGCCGATTAGACAATAAAAAAACCCCCACCTGTCACCAAAATGAATCACCAAATCAGAAGCTAACCCAGAACCCAGGCCCAGGCTAGGGCTTTGCCTTTGCATTATGTGGTGCAACTTGCCATTTGAAGGTTTTCCCTCCTTGTTTAAAGGTGCCAAATCCTGAGCTGCTATTTTGTTGCTTGGTAGTTTAGGGTATGTCTACACTAGCCCCCTAGTTCGAACTAGGGAGGCTAATGTAGGCATTCGAAGTTCCAAATGAAGCCCGGGATTTAAATATTTGCATGTTCCCATCCGGTTGCCATATTGAAATTCCACTAGCCCGAAGTAACTGCCTGCAGCTACACGCAGTAGTGAAATGGCAATTCAAACTAAGTCCTTAGTTCAAATTAACTGTTACACCTCATTCCAGGAGGAATCCCGGGCTTCATTTGCAACTTCGAATGTCTACATTAGCCTCCCTAGTTTGAACTTGGGGGCTAGTGTAGACATACCCTTAGGGTACGTCTACACTACAACGTTAATTCGAACTAACTTAGTTCGAATTAGTTAATTCGAACTAAGGTAATTCGAACTAACGGATCCAGACTAAAAAACTAGTTCGAATTAGCGTTTTGCTAATTCGAACTAGCATGTCCACATTAAGTGGACCCTGAACCGGGGTTAAGGATGGCCGGAAGCAGTGCCGGCAGGGCATCACAGGAGGACTTAGAGTGTGGAGATGCTGTCTCAGGCTAGCCAAGGGCTGTGCTTAAAGGGTCCCGACCCCCACCCCGGACAGACGGTTCTCAGGGGTGCCCCGCTTGCAAAGCAGTCCTGGCTTGGAGTGCCCTGAGTGCCCACACTGGGCACATCACAGCACTCGGCCATCAGACCGGCTCAGTGCCGGCAGGGCATCACAGGAGGACTTAGAGTGTGGAGATGCTGTCTCAGGCTAGCCAAGGGCTGTGCTTAAAGGGTCCCGACCCCCACCCCGGACAGACGGTTCTCAGGGGTGCCCCGCTTGCAAAGCAGTCCTGGCTTGGAGTGCCCTGAGTGCCCACACTGGGCACATCACAGCACTCGGCCATCAGACCGGCTGCACTTGCCGCAGGCTGCCATCTGGGGAGAG